GCCCTGGGTATAGGAGTGGGCACCATTTGGCATCTCCATAGCTCAGTACCCAGTTCCAGGTTACTGTTTCGGGATGGAGAGGGTGCTTGCCGTTGCAAGGAAGCAGGGACCTGCTTTGGGAAGGACAAGACCACAGACAAGGAGGGCAATGATCAGACCAAACCCCAGATCATACCACCTTGGAAATCCTGAAGATCTATAGGCCCACAAACCTAGATATAAAAACGAGGATAGACAAGCCTAAAACTTAGGTTAGTCACTCCCCTTGTCCCTGGGGTGAACAGAGGCCAACTCTAACATAAAATCCAAAGTCAAGAAATAAGCTGGGAAAATAAGAAAACAACAGCAACAGCAAAATAACCTGACCATAAAAAGCTACCATGGTAACAGGGAAGATCAAGACACAAACTTAGAAGAAGACTATGACATGGAAACATCTGCAAGCAAAGACTCAAAGGAAAAAGAGAGAGCCAGTGATCAATTGCATGCCTATTACTCTAGGTCCACAACGGATTGAGGCTTGGCACTAGAGCAGAAAGACTTGAGTTCAAATATGGCCTCAGATGCTCCCTAGCTGTGTGACCCTTGGTGAGTTATTTCACTTCTGTATTTCTGTTTCCTCAACTGTAAAATGGGGATAATAATAGCACCCGCCTCCTAAGGTTGTAGTGAGAATAGAATGAAATAATATTTGTAAGGTGCTTTGCAAACCTTGAAGTACTATATAAAGGTTAGCTATTATTGGTAGCAAGGTGGTGCAGTGGATAGAATGCTAGACTTGGAATCAAGAGGACCTGAGTTAAAATTCAGCCTCAGACACTTCCTAGATGTGTTACCCTGGACAAGTCTGTTAGGCTCTTTCTGCCTCAATTTCCTCAACTGTAAAATATGGATAACATAAGGAAATAATAAATGAGAAATGCTTTGTAGACCTTAAAGTACAGAAATATGATTATTATTTTATGATTACTACTACTACCTTTGTCAAAGACCAGCTTTGCTGGATTCAGAGGCTCAGTACCAAGTTGCCTACAGTGTGAGGAATTTTTCAGCCATACAACAACTCTCAAAGTTGTGGAGAGGCTGCAACTCCTAGCATGGGGAGTTCCCACACCAAAGAAATCCCATATTCTTTAATTACTTGAGTTTATAATATAGGTGCTATGACATAAAGAGAGCTGGTGGAAAAACACCTGTTTTCCATGAAATAAGGTTGGATATGCAAGGCCTTTTCCTGGCACTTCCCAGGCAATATGACTACAATCTGGGCTACTAAAATAATCTCTTTTCTCTGTTTCTATTACCTTTAGAGAATCACCAATTTTAAGAGTGGCAAGGGAATTCAGGGGCTTACCTAGTCTAACCCCTTTATGAAACAAATCCCCAGTAGAACACACCCAGAAAGGAGTTATTTGGTTTCTGCTTGAAGACCTCCAAGGAGGGGGTGAACCCAGCACCTCTCAGAACGGCCCATCAAGACTAAATCTGCCTCTCTGCACTTACACCAATTACTCCTCATTCTGCCCCCTTGGGCCAAGCAGAATAAGGCTAATCCCTCTTCCACCTAGCATCCCTTGAAATACCTGAAGTCACTATCCCATCCCTCCCCCCACTTTCCAGCCTTCTTTTGTGTTTTGCTTTTTTCCATTTAGATTATGAACTCTCTGAAGGCAGGGATTTTTTTTTTTGTATTAATTGTATCTCCAGCGCTTAGCACAGTGGCTGACATATAGTAGGTACTTAATAAATATTTATTAGATTGGATTGTAAGCAGAAGTTCTGACATCCGAACTCAGGTCCCATGACTCAAAGTTCAGTGCTTCTTTGCACCATACCATGAGATCACAGATTCTAATTCCCTTGACACCCCATCCAGCATTCTTTCCCCCTATTCCCTGCTGACTCTCAGTTAAACAAGGACACCATGTGGGCATGGCAACTGTACTCCTCAGCCTTGGAATTAGAATCACCCAATTTTGGAGTTGGAAAGAGACATGAGGGAAGATCAGGGAAAGAAACAGGATCTCATTTTCCAGGGCTTGTCTTGCAAACGTACAGCACTTGTTAGAAACCTCTTTCAGATGTTGACGCCAGGCCAGATTCACCATCACACTCAGTCCTTCAGAGAGGGTGGTGCTCTCTTCACCAACCCATTGGCCTCCAGCTGCATAAGGTTTATCACATAGTTTCTTGATGAAGGAAAGTCAAAGGGCTGTCTCTCAATATATTCCTAGCATTGCTTTATTTTGGATTATTTTTGCATTTGATCCCAAATAGGAAAGAAGTGGCTGGAAGGAAGAATAAATGCATTTTTATGAAGGACTGGAGCTGGTCCTCAGTTGGCATCATTGGCTCACATAGAATTCTGTGGGTTGGTAAAACATGGGGGGAAAAAAAGATTCTTCCTTTATTAAATTGCCATGAATTGTAAAGCAGAGCTGTAAATAACTGTTCTTTTTTAGGGGTAGGGGGAAGGGGTCTTGGACTTGGGATTTCTTTTATATAGAAGCTGTCTCAACCAACGTTGAATAGCAACTCATCTGCAGCTTAAGATTGTAGAGGTAGCCTGCCTGATTCCTGAGAGGCTGAAGCAATCAGAGGCTCAGAGACCTGGGCAGGAAAGGACCTTAGGAGCCATTTATTATGACTTCTTTTACAATGAGCAAGTGCAGATTCAGAGAGGTTGGATAACTCATGAGGGGTCACAGAGTTAGTTACACTAGAACCCAGGGCTTACTAATCCAAAGCCAACACTCCCGGCATGGCTTCGATGATAACTCTATAAAAAGCTTCCATGAATCTGATATTTAGAGAATATTTTGAGATCCAAAATCATGGTACAGAGAGGTAGTAGCAGTCACTGCAATTATATTTTGAGCCTATTTTACAGGGACCTGCACAGAATCTCAGAGTTGAAGGGAGTTCAGAGGTCATCCAGTCCAACCTGTACCTAAGAATCACTTTTACATTTCCAATAAGTAGTAATACAAAAGTTTTCCTATAGCCCTCCAATAAGGAGGAACACCATCTCTCCAAAGGTAGTCCATCATGTTTTGGGATGATAGGAAAGAAAGAAGGAATGAAGGAAGGAGGAAAAAGGGAGGGAGGGAAGGAAGGAAGGAAAGAAGGGAAGAGAGAGGGAGAAAGGAAAGAAGGAAGGAAAAGGAGAGAATGAAAAAAGGAAGGAAGAATAGAAGGGAAGAAGAGGGGAGGAAGGCAGGAAGGTGGTAGGGAGTGAGAGGTGAGACAGGAAGGGAGAAAGGAAGAAAACAAGAATTTTTTAAGCACCTATGATGTGCCAGGTACTGCGCTAAGTGCTTTACAAATGTCACTTTATTTGGTCCTCATAACATCACTGTGAGGTAGGTGCCATTACTAACTCTGCTAACAGTTGAGGCAGTTGAGGCAGACAGAGATTAAGTGACTTGTCCTAGGTTATACAACCAGTGAGTGTCTGAACATGAATTTGAACTTGGATCTTCTTGACTCCAGGACCAGGGCCCTATCCATTGCACTACACAGCTACCTATAGGCATTTTGGTCATTAGCAACATTTTTGTCACATCAAACCTACATCAGGCACTTCATAATATCCTTGTATTGCTTCTGTTCTATCCCAGGAGTCAAACAGAACAAGTCTAATTCTTTTTCAACATTTGCATATTTAAAGATAACTATCTTCCCCCTAAGTTTTCTTTAGGTTGACCATCCTTGCAAAATTCAACCAATCCTTATGTGACATGAACTCGAGGACCCTCGCCATAATGGTCTGCCTTCCTTGGTTACTCTCCAGCTTATCACTCTTTATCCTGAAATGTCTTGCTCGGAACTGAACACAGAAGGTGAATCGCAATATGGCAATCACTGCCTTATTCCTGGATTCTGTGTTTTGCTTAATGCAGCCTAATGTTGCATTAGCTTTCTAGGTCACCATCTCACACCAATGACTCAAAATGCCATAACCTTCTGATGACTCTACTCTTCCTCCAGTTAACCAACAGAGAGCCACATGGTGGTGGTGTTAATGTGGGTACCACTTTTCTTTCTGTGAATATAAGGATACATTTTTCTAGTCAAGTACATCTCAATTGTTCCCTAGGTGAGAACAAGAACTTGAAACTCCCCTAGGTGTGAGAGAAAATATGTTTGGATTGGCAGAGAGACTAGACTGTAACCTCTGGCCTATACAAAATTAGGGAGCTGGTTGTAATTCAACCAATCAAATGATAAATATTTATTAAATGCCTACTATGTGCCAGGCACTGTGCTAAGTGCTGAGGATACAAAAAGAGGCAAAAGACAGTTCTTGCACTCAAGGAGCTTACAATCTAATGGGGAATACAACATACAAACAAATATATACAAAGCAAGCTATATTCAAGATAACTACGAAAACTTATCAGAGGGAAGGCACTAGAATGAAGAGAAGGATTTAAGTAATTGGGGATTCCACAGAGTATCAAGCTGAGAAAGGATTTTAGCTGAACCTCTGAGAAGGAAACATTTGTGGGAGAAAAGAGCACCTCATTCTTCCTCACCCTTGACCAAAGAAGTACTTTATGAACTTCAGAAGTCAAGAAGATTTGGGACTCTGAGGGGACAAGTAGCCAATATCTGGGCACCCAATATTCCAATGTGAGTGGAAGTATGGGTAAAGACCCCTAGATTTTATATGTAGTACATGATGACTCCCAAAATAACCAAGCCAGAAAAATACAACTTTGGGTATAAAATTAGAAAATGAAGATCATTGTAAAGTATTTTCATAAAAGCAGAAACATAAGACATTCAAATAGAAGGAATACACCATCCACAGAAGCTTTTTCCCTTATTTCAATTCCTTTTTTGTGTGTCTAAGAGTCAATGTCTGGATTTTAATGGCAGTATAACCAAAATGGTAGGAAATGAACCCTATGGGAACTAAAGGTCTATCTGGTCAATGAACAATGATGTTGACATGACAATAGTTTTCTATGGGGACTAGAGAAATATCACCTTACCTTAATTACATCTTCATCGGATGATCTACACTCCACAGACTCCAGAAGATCTGTCACGGTGCCGTCCTCCTCCACGGAGACCACCTTTACAGGCACAGCCACTGTCTTCCCAGTGAGAATAGCTGTGTTCAAGATTTCTGCTTCCTGGAAGATGAAACAGAGCCCTAGGTTTTACATTCCTTCTCTGAATGACCTTTCCCCTGAAATGTGCTAATTCCCTCTTCTTGGCCCTCCCTGCAAAGGGAATCTAATTTGCATTAGTTCCTGGAAAGTCTGGCACTGTCACAGCAGTGGGGGTTAATGTGACAGGTATAGCCATTATTAGCTGTCATTATTCAAATTCCCAACAAGGAGCTCCAAGAACGAGATAGAAGAAAAGTGTCCATACAAGGGAGCAAAGAAAGAATGGCCCTAAATTAGTTCAATATAATACAAGACTATGGACAGAGCCAAGGCAGGAGGGAGTTTCTGCTTAGGCAGCAATGTATGCAGCAGTCTACAAAGCTCCTATTGTTTCTAGGCCCTAAGAACTGTCCTCTTCTCTGAAAAATTTGTATAGGCACCAATCTTACTGATGCTGGATCAGCCCATATAACTGAATGGAGGAGGGGTTACAGTGAATTGGCTGTAATCAATCACCCAAACCAGACTGTGAAAGTGGGAACAGGTTTATTTCTTCTTCTGGAACTTGCCCTCCAGCCCGCCTTCCCATGCTAAAGCAGGGTCTCATGGAAGAGACCATCTTTCTATTCTAATAATTGTAGCTACAACAGATAGCTACCTGATAGAGAGCCAGCCCTAGAGTCAGGAAGACCTGGGTTTGAATCTAGCTTCTGACCCAAGCTGTCTGCGTGATCATATCATTTAAGTCATTGAAATGTTCACTGCCCAAGCAATGCTCTAAAGCTCTAAATTTCAGAGCAGGTGCTGACCAGAATTTGCCCAGGGAATTTTTGCCAGGGGAAATGTCAAACACGGATAAAACAAACTGTCAGGACAAAAAAAGTAGCCCACAACAAACCAAATGACATGAATGAAGATCTGATGAAAAACTGTGGGTATTCTTCTCCAGGGATAGTAAGTCAACAAATATTTATTAAGCACCTACTACATGCCAGGTACTTTGCTAAGTGCTAGAGATACAAAGACAGGTAAAAATATGGTTCCTATCTTCAGGGAGTTCACATTTTGACAAAGAAGACAATATAGAAATACCTATATACCTATGCATTACATGTATGTCTGCATATATACATACAGATATGATATTATATGATATTACATATATGTGACATGATAGGATATATTATATTATAGATTAGATATGATACTACATCCTATGTCATGTCACATAATTTTATATATCATACATGTGATATGATATGATATAATATGATATAATATTTGTTTAAGTGAAAGCCAATCTCAAAAAGAAGCATTGGGGAGAGGGACAGGACCAGGAACAGCCCCTTACAGAAGGTGGGTCCTTCTGCCTTTTCTTTCTTTGAGCTGATTTGCGTTTTCAGTTGGCACTTGAAGGAAATCAGAGAAGCCAGAGGCACAGAGGTGGAGGCAGAACATTGTAGGAATGGGAGATAGCTAGCACAAAGGAATGAATAATTTCCACCATTACAGTTCCGATGAACATTGCTGGCTTGGATTTGAATATAGCTTTCATTGTCAACAACTTTATTAGATCTGGTTAATACTGTATGTAGGGCTGGGAGGTAGGGTGATTCCTAAACAGAGATCGAGAGAGACCCCTCCTGACCATTCCCACACTGATAATGATGACATACAAGGAGAGAATAGAAGACCCAACATAGATGGCTCCATCCTTCCCCCAGTACTCACTCCACTGACTGTTATCAATCATTCTATGGCTGTTCTATCCAAGAATACATCATCAATTTTCTTATTTATTTAGTGCCCTTATGCTCAGAAGGCAGGGTGGTATAATGGATAGTGCTGGACGCAGGAATTTTTGGATCTTAGGAGTAGTCTTGAGTAGGCAGCATCCTGAAAGGCCATCTACTCCAACCCTTTCATTTTACATTTAATAAAGCCCGAGTCTTAGGGAGGTTAATGACTCCCATCTCAGAGGGTGGATTTGAACTCAAGTCCTATCCCTCAGAGATTCAGAGACCTAAAACTGGAAGATACCTCAAAGGCCATTTAGTAAATGCTCCTCACATTATACATGAGGAAAATCATGGAGGTCAAGTGACTTGCCCAAGGCCACATATAGAATAAGCATCAGAGGTGGGATTTGAACCCAGAACCTAGAAGAGTCAGGGAAGTCCACTGTACCACACTGCCTGGATTCAAAACCCTCCTTAGACACTTACTAGTGTCAATAACTTCTATGAGCCTTGGTCTCCTCATCTATAAAAATGTATAATAATCATTTCTACCTCACAGGGATATCATAAGACTAAACTGTGAAAGAGCTTTTCAAAACTTAAAGCACAATATAAATTCAAGCTATTATTAAATATCTCAGCAGTAGTGCCAGTCCAAACATTTGCCAGTTCATTCAAGTTGTTTCCTGTAGCCTTAGAGCAAGGAACAATCTCTTGTGGAATCATGGCATCATCTTCCATGTCAGCTCAAGATTCTGTGCTTTCCCCCTTCTATACTGTCAAATAAGCCTTTTGCCTGGGCTATGAGTAAGCTTTTAAAGTCTTTCTTTGAGTTCACAGAAATTCTGAAGGCCTCCAGGGTCCCCACCGGTCATTCACCTCTTCTTTAGTAAATGGCTCCTGCTCTGGATTCTGAGGCTGACCTCACTTGACTTTGGGGAAAAGAAACAAAATAAGAGAGAGAAGCAGTTGCCTTTGGGCAAGGCAAGGAAAAACATGAATCTCCCTTATCCAAAGGGCAGGGGTCAGAAAGAGCTTGTCACACAACTGAACAGAAAGATTCCAGCTTCTCTGTCCTTACCCCACTGGCCTCCCAGAAATGAATCTCTAAGTCACTTAGGAATACAGGCATATCTCCTTTTATTGTGTTCCACAGATGTTGTGTTTTTTACAAATTGAAAGTGTGGCAACCCTGCATTACGGAAGTCTGTCGGCACCATTTTTCCAACTGCATATGCTCACATCGTGTCTCTGTGTCACGTTTTGACAATTCTTGCAATATTTCAAATGTTTTCATTAGCATTATATCTGTTATGGTGATCTGTGATCAGTGATCTTTGATGTTAATATTGTAATTGGGGTGTGCCACAAACCACATCCACATAAGACAGCAAGCTTAATCTATAAAAATTTCATGTTCTGACTGCTCCAGCAATGGGCCATTCCCCTATCTCTCTCCCTCTCCTCCCTATTCCCTGAGACACAATAATATCAAAATTAGGCCAGAAAATAACCCTTCAATGGCCTCCAACTGTTCAAGCAAAAGGAAGAGTCAATATACGTGGTAAACTTCATTGTTGTCTTATTTGAAGAAATCGCCACAGCCACCCCAACCTTCAGCAACCACCCCCCACATCAGACAGCTGCCATCTACATTGAAGTAAGACCCTCCACCAGAAAAAAAAAAAAGATCATGACTTGTTAAAGTCTCAGATGATGGTCAGCATTTTTTAGCCATAAAGTATTTTTTTCACTAAGACATGTACATTGCATTTTAGACACAATACTATGGCATACTTAGTAGACTACCATATAATGTAAACATAACTTTGATACACGCTGGGAAACCAAAAAAAAAAAATCAAAAACCAAACCTCACTTTATTGTGACATTCACTTTACTGTGGTGGTTTCGAACAAAACCCACAAAGCTATGCCTATAAAAGAAACCAATGAAGGAGTAGCAACCTGGCCTCATCACATGGCAGGAAGAGGCATTTTGTAGCTCAGCTCCCAGAATAAAAAGTCAAGAGTGACTTTTAAATATTTGGAGATTCCGGGAACATGAAGAGAAAGAGGGCTGGGGAGGAGTGCTGACTGGCAGTAGAATGCCCATCTGGGCCAGGGGCATTCTTATGCTTGGAACAGAAGTTTTCATCCTGTCATGTGAGACCTAGTTGGGGACTGGGAAGGAAGCCCCAGATTTTATCATTCTGCCTTTTGCCACCTCCAAGGTCCCCAGCATTCCAAAGGCTCAGGGATTCAAAATGCGTCTTCTTGCCATCAAATGTCTTGTTGCTCCTGCCCAGATAAAGTTGCTGTACTTTGTTGTCTTTATTTCCTTGCTGTCTCATTCACTCATTTCTCAGCCCCTTTGAAATCAAATGCTGGACGTCATCACTTAGCTGAAACTGCATTCTCCAAGGTCTGATCTGTTCATTGGTAATTTCACTGGCCTCTTCTCCATCCTCATCTTTCTTGGCCTCTCCGTAGCTGCCAGAACGATATTCCTAAAGCAAGGGTCTGAGCACTCACCCCCTAGATCAGTGTGCTCCAGTGATACCTTCAACTTCAACGATCAACTATGAACTCTTCTGTTTGGCATCCAAAGCCCAAAGGGTGCATGTGCACGTGCGTGTGCACACACACACACACACACACACACACACACACACACACACACGGCCTTTCATAATCTGGCTGCAATCTACTTTTCCAGCCTCATCACACATTAGTCCCCTTATTGTACCCTCCAGTCCAAGTCCAACCGGCCTTCCTGCTGTTCCTTGTTCAGGACATTTCATCTTCCGTCTATGTGCCTTTGCAGAGGCTAGGCCTCATGCTTGGAATGCATGCTGTTTTCACCTCTATCTCTTAGAATCCTTAGTTTTCTTCAGAACTCAGCTCACATGTCCCTTCTACACAAAGCCTTTCATGATTTCTGGGTCGTTTAGAACATCCTCACAAAAATAACAAGATATTGACTTTATAGATATACATACATATATATCCCATACATACATACATACATACACACACACAAACTAGCTGTGTGATCCGGGGGGGGGCAGGAATAGACATATACATATAGGTACAGAAATGTGTGTTTGCATATACATGCATTGATGCATGTATAAGCACATCATAACATGCATTAGTAAATGTACACGTGCCTACATGTGTATAGTTATATATTTATAGATAGGCATAGCAATTTATATACATATGCAAGCACGTAAGTTCTGTGACTCAGTGTGTGTGTATATATATTGTGCATACATAA